CGGCCAACGAGGCAGTCACTATATATTTATTATCGTATCCTAAAAAATGTGTTTGTTTTTTTTTATTAACAAATTTCTAAAAGAATTCCAAGGAAGTTCTCAGTTTGACCTGTATGTATGTATGTATATTTGTGCGTGATTATCTCGCAATTGGCTGAAACGATCTTGAAGCGGTTTTCAGTATAGTGTTTGTTACACCTAGGAGAAGGTTTTAGTATATTAACTCGTCGAGTACCGGTTTTGTAGACACAATTATAGAACAATAGGTTGCGGTCACCGGTGACCGCTTGGTGTTTGACAGTTTAATTAACCGACTTCAAAAAAAAAGCGGGTCGTTGAAGTCGGTTTTTTGTAACGTGGTTTATAAAATAATTATTACATCAGATCTTTCGGACTAAATGGATATTTCTTTTACATACCCTGTCTGCACCTTTAAATTGCCTCAACTCGTTGAGTACCGTCATTATAGACACAATTATAGAACAATAGGTTGCGGTCACCGGTGACTGCTCGGTGTTTGACAGTTTAAATAAGTGTTATAATATCTTATGTACGCTATTACGGTACCTTCATAGACTCGGTAGTACCTAACTTACTATTTCGAAAATATTCTTAAATTAATTTAAGGTAGTGTGATTAAAACTAAGAGGGTACGATGGGGTTGGCGTATCCATGTGGATAAAAACCCCAAAATAAATAAATAGAAAAAAAAAAACAGAAAATATCCATAAACATTCTTCAATCACGATACCCATAGACTATCCACTTATAAGGCATTTGCGAATACATAAGTTAGTCACAAAGTGCCGACTTTATTGTAATTATTTACTTTAATATATTTATTGCCTCTTGATTTAATGGTTCCTGTTTGTAAACAAGGTAGCATTAAGTATGTACGACTATTCTGTTATTAGATACCTTGTGTTATACAGACGTGTGTGTGTTAGTAATTTTACCATGTTCAGTGGAATAAAATAAGAGTAACTTTCGAAAATTCACGAAATAATTTTGGATTTGTAGAAGAATTGCGATTAAAACGGTAAGCGATACCCAGATATATGATCGTATGTAGACTATTAGTTGTATGACTCAGGTGTTGCAACGTGTCACGAATTCAACTTCCGCGTCAATCAAAAAATACTGAGGATACCTATTTTCTAATATGATTCACTGAGATAGACTTTTGGCCTCAATCCCGTGGGAGAATGGTTAGGCATAAAGAGGTTAACACGTTAAACGCCATGGCAGTCACTGGTGACCGACATTAGCGGAGGATTTGCCTTCAACAGTTTTTTATTGGCAGCCAATGCCTTAACTAATATAAACCTGATAGTAACCATAGCATTTTTTTGTTTCAGAATGCGAGCCCCTTAGCTGATCAAGATGGATAAACCTACTATGCATATGTTGGATGTCCAGGAGAAGGGGGGACAGACTAGAAAAGCTAATCAGTATATAGCTGCTGTTGCAGGTAACAAATTTTGGCATACTTTTATCATATCTTCTTCAATAAGATCAGGAATAGTAAACATTACATTTCGTTCTCGACAATCAATAAAATTATCTGTCGTTGACAGCCCGACGATTTGAAATTAAAAGCTTTTCATTAACTTACGGTAATACTCGACTGAGCTATGTTTTATACACCTTAGGGGTAGGCTTTTAAGCCTCATACAAGAGGAGGTATCCTATATGTTACTAATTATTTTCAAGAACCGATATCACCTAATAATATATTTCTTGACCCAAGAAACTTCAGACCATAACTTGACAGTATAGTAATAAGTACAGCTTTCCTTTTATTAAAGGGTTTTATTTCAAACACCAGATGGCACTAATTTAGCGAAAAGTCAGTTTGTCCAATCACTGTAGCTGTCAAAAATTGAATGACCAATGGGGTGACTAACAGCTAAATCCCTATTGGACGAAAAGACGTGAGGTTCACTCTAGCTCCATGTGGTGAGCAAAGAAACGGTAGCCCTCATTGAGGAGTTAGTCATTAAAACAGTTTAACAAGAGAATACTAAACAAGCAATGTCGATCATAGATCATTAGCTGTAGTCATAAACGAAAATAAACGTTACATTGACGAGTCTATTAATATAGTATTGGCTACGGATGAAGTACTTACATTTTAGGTCGGTAGCTCTTGGCTCTGTACAGAGGCGCCACTGGTAAAAGGAATAAGTGTATTAGTTGAGAATGTTTTTGAAAGGTCTTTCTGTTTAAAAGATGGTTTAAGAACCCTAGCTAAATACAATGATCAATAAGTCATCTTTACCAGCTCTTTCCTCTTTCTGAAGGAGTATTTTGATGGTGGAATACGTTGTTCAATTTCTTACAGCCCATGGTGACTTTAAGGCCTAATTAAATTGGTTGATTCTTGATGATAATGTTTCTTTCCGGACTTGTAGTACGATCAGTTTGCTAGTCACATTACAAATCCAAAACTCTTTCTCTGTCTCTAAATTAAGAAATCTAGTTTAGTTAAATAAAGGTTTCATGTTACCGAATGTACACATACATTTGTTCAGGTATTTTGAAAACCCTTTGTTCAGTTTAATTAAACATGGTTTATTTGTCTACAGCTGCAATAGCCGCGGTCGCTGGAGGAACAATCCTAGCATGGACATCACCAGCCCTACCTCAACTGGAACCGTTCAAGAACGTCACGATAGTCAATGGCACGGCATCGAACTCCACTGCTAATGTAACAGGCTCGGGTTTACCAGCAAACTATTCAGGCTTCGTCAACTCTTTAGGACAACCTGCTGACTTCCTCTTAGATACCACGCAAAGTAAGTGGGATAACCAAATAAGTAATATTCTTATGGACTGTGATGGTCCCTAGTTTTTTTCTTAGCTTATGTTTATTCTCCAGAAACATTTATTGCTTTCGTTATAGTAGACCTTATGAACATTTAGATATGCGTTATAATTATTATTACTTTATTAGTATGTGTGTCTTGACCATTCACGGACCACAGGGTCCCGGTCATTTGGGAGACGTCTGAGGCTGCGAACTGCGCAGAGGCCCTATAGACAACTTTAATCTAATGTAATGGACACACAAACCGGTGACTATCCCGGTATGCAGTAGTATGCACCCAAAGATTATTATTTAAACAATTTATTGTACGGAAATAGGTACCACCAGTAAGTAAATGGGGATAACTTTCCAATAAAGATTTCGTTCTATTGAAATTACGACTAAAGATCGTATCTTTTGAATTCCATTTGAATACATTTATTAACCGGACATTTTCCTCGATCCCAAAATAAATTCGTAAAATCTTCCGTCGTTGCTAAAGGCAGCATAAGTGCATCAATATGTTAAGTAGCACTCACAACGTTGTAGATTTATCTTCGTGGCTAAGACGGGAATAAACCGGTCTTTCCTGTTTTGAAATTCTATTTGTAACATCACTGGAACTTCCACCTGGGGATAAATCATTGGCTGCGTAACTGTGGTAATTTTCATCATTGCAATTAACGTCATTATTGTTAATTAGTCATTTTAGTCACGAAGAAAGTGCATCATCTGCATGCAGCTTTTCTTGTAGTTCATCTGAAGTGGTGTGGGTTTTTTTTGTATACCTACCTATCGTGAGACATACTACTCTAAAATTAATTGAAAATGCCGATTTATTCTTGTAAATAGCTGAGAAAAGCTGTATTAGTTCCAAGTCACAGCTCATGAGCAAGAGTCCTGCTTTTTGTTACGTGTTCCGGGTTTTTTTAAACTGTCAAACACCAAGCGGTCACCGGTGACCGCAACCTATTGTTGTATAATTGTGTCTACAAAACCGGTACTCGACGAGTTAATGTGGTATATAGTCATGTTCGTTTCGTTGATGAGATACTGCGCTACGTTTATCACTTTTTTTTTATGGCATAAGCCGGTAAACGAGCAGACGGATCACCTGATGGTAAGCAATCGGCGTCGCCCATGGTCACCTGTAACACCAGAGGCATTACAAGTGCGTTATCTTTTTGGGGATCAGGAGTTTGAAGATCATTGGGGATTCTTATAATCCTGACTAAATAAAAATTTTGATCTCAAAAGCGGGGATGTACTTATATTTAATTTAAGACCCATTTCTTAAAGTGTTAAGATACGAGACCCATGCAATAGAGGGTGAGCTTATTGATCAACCCAAAAATTTAAATGAAAATACAATATGATGTCATAAAGGAACAATAACACATTACACGATTTATGCCTGACAAGACTCTTTTTATAGATGCGCAATCAAGTAATATTATATTTTAATACTCCATTTGAAAGAAATCTCAAGTGTAGACTAGCAACGACTGTCGCAACCGAGGGCTGGGCTCGCTGCCATCGCAGCGGTAAGTCCCCTCTTTGAGGAGTGGCTTGAGAGACGCTACGGCGTCCTCACCTACCGCCTGACGCAGGTCCTCACCGGACATGGAAGTTTCGGGAGGTACCTGTGTCTGATGGGGCGGGAGGAAACGCCCGGGTGTCATCACTGCGAGGACCGCCCTGAGGACACGGTGGAACACACGGTGGGAGAATGCCCTTCGTGGGCTGGGCACCGCCGTGTCCTCAGGGAAGTGATCGGCGATGGCGACCTCTCGCGTCCGGGCCTAGTGCAGGCCATGATGCGGAGCGAGGGGGATTGGGATGCCGTCTCCTCCTTTTGCGAAGCAGTCATGCTAGCTAAGGAGGAGGCGGGACGCGTGAGGCAGCGAAGCGCTGCCTCCTCGCAACCCAGCCATCGCGAAGGACACACCGGGCGTCGGGGATCGCGGGACGATCTCCGGCCACCGTAAGCGCGGGCCTGCGGACGGCGAGCATGGGTGGCTCCCCGTCCGACCAGAAACAGACCCGAGCGTACGGCGCGTCGCGTTCCGCGCGCGCCTCAAAGAGCCATCAGACCACCACAGATGGGGCCCAATAGGGCCGATGCCGATTCGGAGTCGCGGAGAACCTAACGGGTAACCGGGGCTCCGGCTCGACGTGCAGGAGAAGGAACGGGGTGGTTTTTAGTCAGTAAGAGTCTGACACTCCCTCCCGCCTCACCCAGGCGGGGGCAGGCATTCGATGATTTTCCCCCCTTAAAAAAAAAAAAAAAAAAAAGACTACTGTACTATAGTTGGGTAGACGGCGTGGGTTGGCCCCCATCTCACACGGTCACCCGGTAACCTTGTGAAGGTCATGGGCTCGTTAGCATGTGTATAGTTGTGCTCATTGTAGTCTCAGAGGAAACACAAAGGGAATATTTAAAGGGAAACTAATAATAAAGGGAGGTTTTGAATTGATTTATCTTAAGTACTATGTTGAGTAGTTAAATAGGACATGATGATGTCATTTGACAATGATAATGGGATGAAGTTCTGGCAAACTGAATTAAGATTTTCTCCTCTTTCGTGGGTACGTTTGCAAAAATACAATTTCACATTCACATGACATCCAGACAATTATGGATCACTCAAAGAGTTGCTCCATGCGGGAATTGAACCCGCTATACGTTGCGCGGCAGCCAGTTGCCCACCGCGCCAACGGTGCGGTCGAGTAAGTTTGAGTTTATTAACCGACTTCAAAAAACGCGGAGGTTTTTCAATTCAACCATATACAATACATGCTTCGCTTCGTCCGTTTACTGTTATGCACCGAGTACGATGTCAGATTGCGTCCTTTACTAAGAATTTCGGGAATCCCGAACTCCTCATGGTATAGTTGTACTTTGTATCGACTTAAAGAACCTTATGGTTAGCAAAACTAGATTTATCTAGTTTACCTTATTTTATACTACACTAGCAGCCCGTCCCGTCTTCCCACGGTGTAATTATTTATTTTTGGAAATTTGGATTGTTGTAGTGACATAACTACAATAGTTGGACATATGCAACCGCGGAGTTTTTTATACACATTGTGTTCTTTAATATTGTTTTACATTATTTTGTTCTATCGCTAATAGTTTCGGCAGCGCATTCGACGAAAGACATTTTAAGACTCATTTTTCTAAACCTTCGGTTACATTGTTCAAATTTTACCAAGGATCCCTAATTTTTTTCAAAATTAAATGTAGCTTATGTCAAATTAGAAGAATGTAGCAATCTATTGGTGAAAGATTTTTTTAAATCGGCCCAGTTCTTTTTGAGCGTATTCATTACAAACATATAAACATACAAAAATCGGCAAAGCCCGACCCGGGAATTACTGGGTTTTTAAAAATCTCAGTTGTAACACGGAGTCTGGAAATGTGCCCGGTATATGGCAATAGGCCCACCCCCTATTAAATGGGACTCATAACATAAATAGTGATAAGTGGGTGTTATATTGTACATTGACATTAAGTGCCGTAAGGTGCACCTTTGCCTGTCCCTTCGGGGATAAAAAAGCGTGATGTTATGTTATGTATATTTATATACTTAGGTGTTAAAGTACTTATTTCAGTAACAGGATAATTTTACTTTTGGTTGTAGGTATGTAGTTGTATTACATTTATGGTTATTTCGTTTTCCTTATATTAGTTAGGCAAGTACGTATTTTATGTGTCAAACAATTAATTTGGGATTTACCTCGTATGACGGAGTTGCAAGTCATTGAATATTTAGTTGCAGCTGTATACGTATGCATTCGTAAGTGCATCACGAACGAACACTGTGTACAAGAACTACCTCAATGTGGAATTTTATCCTGTTGTTAATATGAGCCTCTAGCATGGTTTGAAACTGGTCGGGTTACAAACAATTACGTGTGTAAGTCGAAAACATAATAATAGGGATGATGACAGGGTATGAAAATTGAAAATCTAATTAGTCCGTCAGTTAGGTAATGAAAAAATATTAGACACGTAATTTTATATTTTGTTGTATAGAGGTAATAAAATGATACTTAGATATAACGAATCAAAGTTTAGAAGTGGGTGCGAAAACTTCATTTCTACGTATTACAGTGACGTCACGCGACATTTCAAATCAATGTATCGTCGAAAGTATTCGTTTGTGTAAAAAAAAAAAAAATATGCGTGTAATGTATTAATACAATCTTACAGACGGACATTAAAATAAAAATTTGTCATCTACCCTATTAACTGTTGTTACCCGTATAAAAAAATTGCCATCTTGAGGTACTTATACCTATTTCTTAATCAGTATACGTATAACTTCGATAACCTTGTAAGTATTATATAATAAACGATGCGGTAATAACAAAACCGGTTGTTTCCAGTAATAATCCTGGAAACGAGATATATTTACAAAATCTCGACTGCAAACTGCCGACAGCGGTGGGCGTTTGGCACGCCATCTGCGATCTATTTTAATACTAAACAAACGCACACACCCACCTTTAAACAAGTTTATGGGATCACTGAGAAGTTTCTCATATTATATCTACATTTTATTTTACACCTTCCTTCCTGTTTTTTCATCCGATTGCCATAAAATACCTATCATTACGTTTTTAATCTCCGAAGAGATAGACAAAGGTGCATATATGTACTTATGTATAAAATTTTATTTGCTGTCCGCTGAACTGTATGCTAGGCACAAATGCACACTCGCTCTTTGAAATATAAACACGTCAATAATTAACTATAATAATGTTACCTATATTCCATAATGTATAGCAGTGAAGAAAAATTCAAAGCGGACAACATAGAATAAAAATCTCAGTAGTAGCATGGACTCTGGAATTGTGCCCGGTATATGGCAATAGGCTCGCCCCGTATTAGATGGGACTCATAACATAAATAGTGAAAAGTGGGTATTACATTGCACAGTGGCATTAAGTGCTGTAATGTTCACCTCTGCCTACCCCTTCGGGGATAAAAGGCGTGATGTTATATGTAAATATAGAATAAGCGAAAAATATAATTAAAAACGTTAAAAACATAACTACACGTTATCTGATCAAGGAAATATATATTGAAATTCACACACCAAAAAGGATTACATATTAATATAATATTGCATAACATGCTGTTGCCTGCGACTTCGTCCACGTGGAATATGAGTTTTAGGAGGACATTACCTACGTTTTTGTTTCAATTTTCCAAAGTAAAAGTAGCCTATGTTACTCCTTAGTACATCAGCTACCTGCCAGTAAAAGATAGAACTTTAATCGGTAAATTATTTTTACTGAGGTAACCACACATGTGAATGACATGTGTGGTTGCCTATCAACTATCAACTGAAGTACTAGACTAGAATAACTTATTCTCGACTAATTACGTCTGACACTCACAGCTTCGAAGTCAATGGCACTGGCGAAAGAAATGTACTATTTTTGCAAAGAGACAGCATGTTATTAGTCAAAATGTAGATATGTACTGCGTTTGTAATATTTCTAGAGGAGCACTGACGTCATGATATGACGTCATACGTTTTTTTTCGGGAACAATAATATGTAGATGATGTTAGGTAATAGTAATATAAGAAATAAACCTGTTATTTTTCTCAGTACTTAAACAGCACTGCACACTCCATACATTTAATCACATAACATAACATCATGCCTTTTATCCCTGAAGGGGTAGGTAGAGGTGCACATTACCGCACTTAATGCCAATGTACAATGTACCACTTTTCACTATTTACATGTAATAGAGGGTGGACCCATTGCCATATACCGGGCACGATTCCATGCTACGTGCTCCTACCAGGATTTTTTTTTAAATCCTGTAATACTTTGCCCGACCTAGGAATCGAGCTCGAGACAGTTTGCCCGGTAGTTGCAATTGCGACCACTCAGCCAACGAGGCAGAAATTAGAGATATCATACATACATAACTTCGCGCCTGTCTCCCATGGGGGTAGGCAGAGACTATGGAACGGCAATTACTACGATTCCTACATACCTCTTTTGCTTCATCAACAGTCATCAATTTTTTCAATAATAATTCGGTAATAATTTCAATATTCATAAATGGTTGTAATAAAGAAAATTAAAAATGTAATTAAACATTAGATACAGTATTCAATATTATCCTTATCATCTGAATCAGATGAGTCTAAAACTAATAAAAGTAAAAGTAACTAGATACTTGACACCCATTCAGTAGCTCGCATTTGCGGTCAGTGCAAATGTCTATGCATTCTTCCTTTAAAAAAAACTCCTCTTTAACTCGTCGAGTACCGTTCTTATACACACAATTATAGAACAATAGGTTGCGGTCACCGGTGGACGCTTGGTGTTTGACAGTTTAAAATATCCGGTATTATCTAAAACATCGTTAATCTGTACGTGAAACAAAAAAATATTTACGATGAAAACAGTTTTCTTGGCAGACGACGACGTGACGTAGACGTCACGCGCCCGATACACAAGACACGCCCCCATACTAAAATGTTTTACTAACAAACAATAGAGTCATCTTATCTCATTTACTAAGCTACCGTTTACTTGTGCAACAGTCTCAAAATCTTCGGTATTTTTATATTTAACTCGTCGAGTATCGTCATTATAGACACAGTTATAGAACAATAGGTTGCGGTCACCGGTGACCGCTTGGTGTTTGACAGTTTAACTCGTCGAGTACCGGTTTTGTAGACACAATTATAGAACAATAGGTTGCGGTCACCGGTGACCGCTTGGTTTTTGACAGTTTAAGGTACTTATGGCTAAATGGTTGGCATTAAGGTGTTTATGTCTAGTTTTTTTTGGCGAATAATATACACTTAGTCTTTATGTGAAACTGTTTTGTTCTTCGAGCGAAATGGTACATCAGAATCTTATCTTTTGGCGGTCTATTGCATCTGTTTGTTCCAATGTGAGGATTGTCATGTGGAAATTTTTGTCTGTTTGTCTGTATGTGTGTCCGGGATAAACTCAAAAAGTACTGTATTGATTTACCTCAAATTTTGCATAAACATTACTAAAAAGTCATAAGCTGCATATTTTCCAGCTGTCACTTACGGTGACAGCTACGGGGGAGGAGTTGTGAATCACTATTCCACATCGTCCGCGTCGCGGGCACAGCTAGTTATTACTAAAACTAAATGACACTTTCGTTTGGCAGTCGGGTGACATTCAAATACTTTAGCCTTTGACTGCCGACGAAAAATGTTGAAGACAAATCCACCGCTAACGTAGGTCCTGTCGCGGAGAACCTAACGGGTTACCGGGGCTCCGGCTCGTCGTGTAGGAGAAGGAACGGGGTGGTTTTTAGTCAGTAAGAGTCTGACACTCCCTCCCGTCTCACCCAGGCGGGAGCAGTCACTCGATGATTTATCCCCCTTAAAAAAAAACGTAGGTCCTACGCGGCGGTTAACGTCTCAATAACACTTTGTCCTGTCTGTCCAATCCGAGTATCGACTCGGATTGGACAGTTCGATACAGTTCGATTCGATAGTTCGATAACTATTAACCTCCCAAATTCAAACGTGACGTGTAGGTTAGTAACCCTATTAATGGACTTGTGTAACAAATATATTCATCTCGTGATAAAGGGCATTTGCCTGACGTTATCTGGCAAGCCCCCAGCGTTGCGTAATCCAACGCTATTGTAAGGCAGAGCTCTCATCGCTAGCGATTAGCGACAAGCGAGCTAGAAACTAGAAATTAAATCTCCCACCATTATGTCAAAGCACTAATAATTGTGTATTTATAATACTCCTTAAGTTTTACTCGACCTAAAAAAGAAGGAGGTTTACAGTTTGACCTGACTTGTATGCATTTACGTGGCTCTGCCATTATCTCACGATTGCCTAAACCGCGATGACTCGTTCTTCTCCATGGGAATCTACGCCTTGGAATGAGCAACTAGTTTCACTTATAAATTTTTGTTGTTTGACGTTCAAAAGTGCCATCCTGGTCTAATTGAAATAAATGATTTTGACTTTGACTTTGACTTTGATTTTAATTGATTTTCAGAAAAATACACTTTTTTTACGGGAGGAAAAAATCATTGATTGTCTTCGGGAGTGTGAGACTCTTACCTCATTCTTACTCCTGTACTTGGAGCCGGAGCCCCGGTAACAGTAACCTTTTACGTTCCCCGCGGCTATGGTTGTTACACTTACGAACAGATTTTAGTATATTAACTCGTCGAGGACCGGTTTTGTAGACACAATTATAGAACAATAGGTTGCGGTCACCGGTGACCGCTTGGTGTTTGACAGTTTAACCGACTTCAAAAAGTAGAAGAATGTTTTTATTTAAAAAAAAATTTCAACTTTCTTGCGTTAACGTTTATGCCATTTGTTTATTTCTTCCTCTTCATCATCATCAGCATTTTGTTGTAATATCCTGTTCTTTTATAATGCACGTCGTGGCAGTCTTTAATTAAGGCTACACTATAGAGTGTTAAAATATGTTAAAAAACCTATCATGTATTTTGGTGTATGCTTTGTTGGTTGTCCTTAAAGAAATAAATAAATAAATCATCACAATCCCAATGACTTCCATATTGTCAGGTTGAATGTCACATACAATTAAAGACAGCACCCCTAAAGATAACCTCAAAAAAATCGCTGCCTCTGCTCTGCTCGCCTACAGTACGACCTACTACCTAACAAACGATACACCAGACTGTACCTACATATAGTAACTGTATGAATGTGTTTATGATAATACGTCATTCGGCGGCTAATTTAGTAGTTAGTGTGTAGTATGGCTTATCTTGTTGCTAGGAATTTGTGTATCATGTTTATATTTTGACTTGTTACTATAACTGTTAGTTTTCATTTACAGTAAAATGGGGTGAATAGGGTTTCAGCGGCGAAAAGGGACAGAAGAGGGGTGAATAGATATAAGGAAATTCTTCATAGTATCGATTCACCCCTCTTCTGTCTCTATTCACCACACAATCCCTATTCACCCCATTTTACGGTACATATTTTGACATAGTTACTCTGATTTTACGAGGTGTAGATCTGTTATGTGTGCATAGAAGATATCGATTTTTATTTATGAGTTTCTTAGATAAATATGTAGATGTAATTTTCATATTGATATAGATCAATTACATTGATTACATTAATATATTATAAATCCATTTCAAAGCAGGAGTAGGAACGGAGTCTGACACTTCTTCTCACCGGATGATTCTCCCCCCTTAATAAAAGGTTTTCCTAGTCTGCCATATAAGCTGTATCTTCTAAACCGTGATAGCTATTCGCATTCGCTGTTGAAATTTTAAAAGATGTTGGTGCCATGCCACTATACTAGATTTTTAATATTAATTCCAAATTATTTCTTTCCAGGTTCCCTAGTATCATCAATCCTTGCTATTGGAGCAGCTATCAGTGCTCTTCCAGTAGGTGTGCTAGCTAACAAAGTTGGCAGAAGACCGACAGTGCTCATCCTCTCCATACCATTCCTGCTCAACTGGCTGCTCACCATCTTCGCGAATGGAGCTGGAATGCTCATTGCTGCGAGGTTCTTCGCTGGATTGGCTACTGGTAAGACTAAGATTTTAGTAGACCAGTTTTTGTAAGTGTAAAATGAAGGTTGTTCCTTACCTCAGAAATTGTCTGTATGCTTCGACTGAGTGGTAATTGAACCTGGCCTTTCTATCATATTTAATGCCAACGTCAAATATTTCTTGCAACATAGATGACTCTCAGTACATCACGTCCAGGACCCATAACGGCAATTACTGCAAATCAATTTCTTCAAATGATTTTCGTATGACTCAGGTCATGATCCTTTTCATTAAGATGGCTATATATTTTTATAATAACTATCGTGAGACATATTAAATTAACTAAAATCGCGGGTTACTCACGTGAATATACTGAGAAAAGCTCTACTAGTTTCGAACCACAGAGGGGTTTTTCCTCATGAGTAGCGTGCGCGGTCGCGGTGACGTCGCGAATAACCCTAGTAAACTAGTTGAGCTTTGCTCAGTATATTTACGTGAGTAAATCGCGATTTTAGATAATGGCTATATATTATTCTTATCCTTTGAGATGATGAAGTTGACTCACATCCAAACCATCAAATCTTACCGTTTCTTACCTATTAGTTACCTTTCTACCTACCTTCTTCTTATCTAACAAAAACTATTTGATTCCCAGGTGGTGCTTGCGTGGCGGCTCCAATGTACATCGGCGAGATAGCAGAGACTTCCATCCGAGGGTCTTTAGGTGCCTTCTTCCAGCTGTTCTTGACTGTTGGCATTTTGTTCACCTTCGTGGTCGGTGGCTGGACTCATTGGAGAACCCTCTCCATCATCTCTGCTGTCTTCCCCGTTCTATTGGTTGCTGTTTTCTGGTGAGTCAATGAGTTTTAGTAGCGACTCTTTGGTCGAGTGTTTGCTTATGCCACAGCCGAACAAAGGGTGTATGAATTCGTTTCCGTGTAGGCAATCTATCTACACACATCTTTTTGCTTACACTGGAGAGGGCACGTTGTATTATATATATGGCATTATATGCATCTTTACCTTTCCCTGCCTGATAAATAATTTGATGATGTCAAAAAATCAAAATCTTTGTTTTACTCCAACATCGATCCTCAGATAGCACGTATAGCAATTACATTAGCTACTTCAAAGTACAAATATTGACACGAAAAACAAAACTTAATAACCCATACGATGCATAGTCCAAACAAACAACAATTATGATAATTTTTATGTTAATATGGTGACAGAGTTCACTTGCATTGTTGATGCTAAGAATAACTTCAAACTGCATTCACCTTTGTTATAATGTCGGGAAAACGTAATATAATCGGGTTATTCCAAGGGTAAAATGTTAAATATATTGTGTCTAAATTGGAACTATTACTCATGAGATAACAAAGTCTAGCTTGATCAACTCATACTAAGGCTTTTTTTAGTTTTTAGTCATATTTTCCGTGGTGTTTGGCGATTGGGCTTCTCCCAGTCGTGCAGTCTCTTTTGTGCCTTTAGGCTTTCTGTAACCTGCATAAATTCACCGAGGGAAGTGAAAAGTATCGTTTTTATCTTCTCTTCTATTAATCATTATCTTCTAATTAATTTCGTTGTGGGATCCAAGACAGTTATTCTTGTCTCTATGACGCCGGACTTCAGTGTTCCGGTGTTATCATGGTTGTAGATCCAAGAGTTGCAGCGATTTTGGGACGTTGTGGCGGGTTTGTCCCAAAAAAAAGAAGTCTAGCTTGATAGTAAATAATATTCAAATTACTTAACTCATCCCTTATTACATGGGCCCATATCATTACTGATGAAAAGTAATTGATAATTGATCTCTACGCTTGTTCAACACGAATGAGGGATTTCAGATTTCAGTTAAGCGTAAATGCATAGAGAACAACCGAAACGTTTCCAATTCCAGGTGGATGCCAGAAACTCCTCAGTACCTTCTTGGCAAGAACAGGCGACGTGATGCGGAGAAGTCTCTCCGTTGGCTGCGAGGACCTGACGCTGACCTTACCGCTGAACTGGAGGAGATGCAGAAAGATGTAAGAATTTTGATGATGGATTTATTGAGATGCCCATGCCCCTAATCGTCAAATCCCTAATTCTCAAAAGGCAATGTACTAGTAACTCCTCTGGTGTTCCGGGTATCCATCTGCGGAGCCGATTACTTACCATCAAGTGATCTGGCTGCTCGTTTACTACCCTAGCAATAAAAACACGTTTTACTATAAATAATCTTTTAATCACCTATTTTTTCACAAGAGAAATGATTTTTTTGGCTTAATCCTTAAATAGAAGATAAAACAATGTATCACCCTGCCATATACTTTCTTGTAATATATAATATACTAAAAATAATCATTTTATCTTTTCAGGTGGACGAAGCATCTCGTCAAAGAGCCGGAGCGCTAAGCATGTTAACGAACAAGGCACCTCGTATGGCGCTCATCTGTGGTCTAGGTCTTATGTTCTTCCAGCAGTTCAGTGGCATCAACGCCGTCATCTTCTATACAAACAACATCTTCCAGTCTGCTGGCTCCAACATCCCTCCTGTCATTGCTACCATCATTGTAGGAGTTGTTCAGACCATTGCTACTTATCTATCTTCTGTCTTCGTTGATAAAGCTGGTCGTAGAATCCTACTCCTCCAAAGCACAAGTATCATGGGTCTCTGCCTCGTCATCCTTGGCATCTACTTCAAGATGCAGAAAGATGGCTACAACGTCGGCTCCTTCGGTTGGATCCCTCTCGTTTGCCTCATCCTCTTCATCGTGTCCTTTTCCATGGGCTTCGGTCCCATTCCTTGGATGATGATGGCTGAACTCTTCCCTGTAGAGTATCGTGGAACTGCCACTGGTATTACGGTCATTACCAACTGGATGCTGGTCTTCGTGGTCACCCTTTGCTTCCCCATTATGCAGGTAGCTATAGGCATCTACAGTTGCTTCTGGTTCTTTGCTGGCTTCATGGTCCTTGGCACAATATTCGTCTTCTTCCTCATCCCCGAGACCAAAGGTAAGACTGTATCCCAAATCCAAGCCATTTTGGCCGGTAAGAACTATTAAATAAGGTTAACTTTAGGTCATCAACCAAATATGTATATACTATGTTCAATCTATCTTGCCTTATCCAAAGTTTGGTTCATAAGAGTGAGTAGGATAGAAATATGTACAAATAGTAAAGAGTGAAAGTGATAGACAATTTGTTAAGGACTTTAATAAGGCTAAGATATTTTGTACGAAGTTTAGAGTATGAAGTAAATGAGTGATTTTGAAAGCTGCCTGCAAAGCAATAAGGGTGATTTTTGTAGTACATTCTGTGACCAGCTATATCAATTGAGTAGTATATTTAATATATTTATACATACAAATGTGATACTATGAATGAGTTAGGGAATAAAAATATTTATAGTTGTACACTGCAGAGAAAATTGTATGTAAATTTTGTCAATATTGTGTAGAAATATTTATCTAAGTTAGTTATGAAACATGACATATATAACAGAATTTTATATAATTATATATTTATTCATTGTGGAATATAATTTGGTGTCAATGTAGCTCCATCGAGTTTTATATATATATATATATATATATATATATATATATATATATATATATATATATATATATATATATATATGTATAATAATAAAAAATAAAAATATATATATATATATATATATATATAATATTAATAATATAATAGTTTAGGGACACAGCAATTCTATTGTGATGAACAAATTCTTGAACAATGCTTTTTGCAATTTAAAAAAAATTGTCATGATAATTCTATTATTTAAGGTGGGCAATATTTATATCATTTTGTTTTTTAATTATTATTTTTAGCTTATATTGTTATGAACTTTTAGCTGGCCTAATAGTTTATTTTTAGACATTTTAATATTTTTGTTTCATAAATTAATCTAAGGATAGTACAATTAAGTGCCGTCTAAGTGCCAAATATATTTAAAATTATTTAAATAATATCTAACTGAACATTTATTGAACAAAAACTGTTAATTTGTAAGCGATAATATATTATAATGGATATGTGAGTAAATTATGAAAACTGCCAAGAATGAATGCTTTTTATTTAAATACCTTAACATACAGAAAACAAAATAAATGCTACAATAAATCAATGAAAAATTAATATTGACTGCTCAATATGAAAAGAAAAAAATCTAAAAGCTATGACAAATTATAATATATTAATTGAGAAAACAATAAATTATCTTGTGCTCCTTATTTATCCACTACATATATGTATAAAATACCCATTACCCTAGTGTGATCGGGTAAATACGCCACCATCGCCATCATTAGGTAAAAGATAATTAAAGATGAATGAAACCCAATCTTAATTTCTAACATAATGTTCAAATGAAATTGTAAAAATATTAGATAATTTCTAAATGTGCCAAATGTAGGCTGTAAAGGTTTTTATACCGTGATCGTTATTGTATCTTGTAATTATAATGTTTATATTAATTATAATTTAGAATTATAAATAAATAGTAAGCTGTTTATTCTTGTGTTTTTCTTTATATGTATACTGCACTTTTAGTAATGGGGCTGCCGTATTTGGGCTCACCAATAGGGTAGTTTCCTAAATTTTATTTTAATGCCCGTCTAGTAGATTAATTTAAAACATTAGACACGTATTTTTTCTTCAAACTCAAACTCAAACTCAAAAGCATTTATTTCAATCAAACCATAATTTGGTACTTTTGAAACGTCAACAAATATGAAATATATAATAGTCTGTCAGTCTGTCCGTCAGTGAAGCTAGGCGCTCGTTCCAAAATGTCGATTCGAGTGGAGAAGAACGAGCAAGAAACTCCATTCGTTACTCTTTTAAAAAAAGTCTGTTTTACACTGCTCTGATACATATCCAATATTGTACACACATGTGGGAATAATGTAAAGACATACCTGACGCAACATACAAATAACAGAACATACTAAAGTAGAAAAAAAAAACAAAACCAAGAGAAAACAAATATCGTAAGTCTGACATGGTCCTCACATATGTATACTGATAATACTAACTAATCTTTTCTCACAAAATTAAATACTTTGATTACGATATATTAATTTGATATATCGTGTGACGTCACAGCGTGTCACATTTTGTAGCACGTTATGACGTAACAACCTCCCACTCCTAAACTTAGCGCCATTTTATCTAAGTATTGCAAGTTAATACGAGAAAATAAAAAAATACGTGTCTAATATTTTATCATTATCTAAATGACGGACTCATTAGATTTTTAATTTTGATACCCTGGAAACTACCCAATTGGCGGCAATGTAGGGAGTAGTTTTTACGTCCATTCAAAGCAGCTGTTAAATATTAAACGTCCAATGGCATGACACTAGCAAATGCCCCAACGAAGAACGAGAGGTCACACTAGCGCACTCTGGTGATTAAATATACGATAGATCCCAATAGTTCCCAGGTGAAATAAAGACACTAATAAACCTTTCCAGGTGAAATAAAGACTTTTGTCCTTTGTACAACCGAAATTGGTAGCAATACCTTACAAACCGGGTGTTTGTAAGGTATAGCAATTGTTGACATCTTATTAAAATGGGGCTAAAAGCATAAAAATGACGTTGAAAAAAAACACTGAGTAATAATAGCAGAAGTCTGAATCACAGCAAAGTGAGGTATAATAAAATAAATGCCTCCTTATTGTACTTATATCTTACAGAAAACGTGCATAGAATTCAAAGAGTAAATATATGCAGGAATGGGGTGAATAGATGTTGGAACATTTTCTCAATATCAGCCCTCTTCTGTATCTATTCACCTCATTTTACCGTTAAGATAAACGAGAATTGATGAATATGCATATGCATAGCTACTCTTAAAAGGATGCCAAAGTAGCTAATATGATTATCACCATCTGTGTAGATAACGGTAAAAAGGGGGAAGAGTTAATGAAAGCAAACTACTCACAAGGGGTAAACAGTAATCCAGGCTTGCGGAAAATCTAATAGGTTACCGGAGCTCCAGCTCAAAGCAGGAATAGGAACGAGGTGATTTTTAGTCAATAAGAGTCTGGCACATCCTCTCGCCTCACCCAAGGCGGGAAAAGTAATTGAATGATTTTCCCCCCCTAAAAAGGAGTAAAGAGTAAATGAAAGCTCAAAATCTATACAAAAAAACAATTTATTTGTTAAAACATGGACGACGTAAGCGAAGGACATTCTCTACAAATAGTTTTCTTCTCGATATCATCGACTCTCAACGACAGCTCAGTGATTTGCTTCTCTATAGCCTTGACGTCACTTCGGAAACCAGTCACAGTAGCATCCAACTCCGTCAAGTACTGTATCTTGCTGCAAAGCTCATCGTATTTTTGAGAAATGTAGTCTCTCGCATTCTGAGAGTCCGTGAGTTCTTTGTCTATCTTATGTATCACTTCGTACTTCAATTCGTCGAATTTTGATTCCACACTTGGACCCAATAAATGAGTTCCTTTGATTGCCAATTCATCTTCTTTCATTTTATTGGCGATCTTTGTGTGACACGCCATATTTATTTGTTATATGAATTTCGGTACGTTCACACGGAATAATTTTATATTATTGTAGCTAATGTGCATTTTGTTGCGTTATCGACGTCGATTTGTAGCGTAAATAGAAAAAATGGCGGTGACAGATGGGGTTGACGTTTAGATATTTTTCTATTATTTTTATTTTTTTAATTTTTTGGCTTCTCTTTTTCGTGTAGGTTGTGAACATGTGACATTAAGGTTTGAAATGAACATGTGTATCTTGCTAACCTATTATCAACGTCCTTGTCAACGGGCGTCGTTATAAAATATATGCGAGTGAGTGGGTTTGTGTATGTTAGTTCTCAATCACGTCAAAGAGCTGAAGGGACGCTGATGAAATTTGGAACAGGGATTTTGTTTTTTAAGGGGGAAAATCATCGAATGACTGCTCCCGCCTGGGTTACGCGGAAAGGAGTGTCAGACTCTTACTGACTAAAAACCACCCTGTTCCTTCTCCTGCACGTTGAGCCGGAGCCCCGGTTACCCGTTAGGTTCTCCGCGACTCCGAATCGGCAACAGCCCTATTGCCCAATAGGGCTGTAGGCCCATCTGTGGTGGTCTGATGGCTCTTTGAGGCGCGCGCGGTACGCGACGCGCCGTACGCTCGGGTCTGTTTCTGGTCGGACGGGGAGCCACCCATGCTCGCCGTCCGCAGTCCCGCGCTTACGGTGGCCGGAGATCGTCCCGCGATCCCCGACGCCCGGTGTGTCCTTCGTTGGAACACAAAGCCTATATTTTTCTCACGGCAACGCAAGCAAACCTGCTACCAGAAGCTAGTACTTTTTTATAGAATAAGCCGTTTAACGAGCAGACGGATCACCTGATGGTAAGCAATCAGCGCCGCCCATAGTCACCCAAAACACCAGAGGTGTTACAAGTGCGTTACCGGCCTTTTGGGGATTAGGACTTTGAGGATTGTTTTGGGGATTGAAGAGATTGGGGAGGGTGGTAATTGGTCTCCGGTAACCTCACTTACACGACGAAACACAACGCAAGCGTGGTATTGTTCCGGTCGAGCCGGTCCATTCGGGCCGAAGCATGGCTCTCCCACATAGACTTGTATAAAATATTCACATTTGTCATTGATCCTTGATATGAGTAGGTACCTACATATAGATAGCAATAAGATTAGACAAAAGTGACCATTGAACATAAACAACATCAGATCTTTTAGATAATGTCACATTATCCACGCTTTCACCACATGGAGCGATGCACTTGGCGGCAGTGACCTGCTTACGACACAGTGGGAGCAATGCCGCTATGATAAGATAATAAGTTGATAAGAGATACAACCATTAAAGGGTTAAGATGTCAATATTGAATGTGTTGTGACTCTTTGCTTAAAAGAGGTTTAATTTCCGTGTTTGGTGGTGTCAAAGGCTTTTTCAGTCTCTATTTTTTTAACAATATACAGATGGATTTAAATATTATGTAGGGACAAGTATTGAAAAGGGAATGTCACGCTGGTTTGGACATGTAGAAAGGATGGATGAAAGTAGAGTAACGAAAGCAGTATAGTAATGTAGGATATGAACGGGGCCGTCAGTAGATGGCGCCCTAGACGGACATATAGTGACCAGATTGGAGGTATTAAAGAAGGGCCAAATTTACAGTACCCTTAACCGACGAGCATGCATGAAAAGACTGATGACTGTTGATGAAGCGAAAGAGGTATGTAGGAATTGTAAGTAATTGGCGTTCCCTAGTCTCTGCCTACCCCCATGGGAGACAGGCGTGAAGTTATGTATGTATGTAGTTATGTATGTATACAGATGGATTATCTGCTGGTAAGTAATGGTAAGTTTGTGATGAGCACCACCCATAGATTTATTAGGTATATCTTATTGTTTGTTTTATTTAAGGACTGTTCAGTTTTGTTTTTTTTTTCTTTTCTTTTATAATTATTTGAAATGTATAACGCCTTGGTTTTGTGACTGTAATGTTATACTATTTACATACATACATAACATCACGCCTTTTTTATCGCCGAAGGTGTAGGCAGAGGTGCACTGCACATTACGGCACTTAATGCCACTGTACAATGTAACACCCACTTTTCATTATTTATGTTACGAGTCCCATGTAATAGGGGGTGAGCCTATTGCCATATACCAGGCACATTTCCAGACTCCGTGCTACTACTGAGATTTTTAAAAAACCCAATAATACTTTGCCCGACCCGGGAATCGAACCCGAGACCCCTTGCCCAGCAGTCGCACTTGCAACCACTCTGCCAACGAGGCAGTCTATTGTATTATATAAATAGGCAGTATATTATATAAATACTATTTAATTTAAATAAATAAATAAATAATAAAAAGATTCTCGTAACAATAACTTCATAAATGTGTTACCGGCCTTATATGGAGTTCTTTACCTGAAGTTAAAGTTTAATTCTATCTGGTAGATGTGTAAAACTTATTTTTGTACTATCGTAAAATGACTCGGAGATTTGTTATACATTGTGTTGCATAGATGTCGCTACTTGGAAATATCTAATATAAGTTAAACCGAATTTCCGATCGTTAGTCTCGATAAAACTTGAGAACGACTCAATCGATTTGGTTAATTTTGGTCTAGAAATGTTTGTGCAGGGAAGGTTTAGAAGATGAAATTTCTTTTTGGCGAAACTAAGTTTGTACAATAGTTTATTATATCTGTTTCATTAATCTAACGAATGTATAGAACAAGTCAAGGCAGTCGCACTTACGACCACTCGGCCAACGAGGCAGTCGAGTATCAAAAAGTTCCTAGTCTAACAATATACACTTATGCCTACATCTTAGCAACATTATAAGATAACATCTATATTGAATACGTAATTAGAAGTACTTCATTAATGTAATTATAATAACTAGTTCGGATGCACGCCATTAGGTCGGAAAACATCGGATTTCTGCATATTAAATGCGAACAAGCGCATCTTTTAACCGACTTCTTAATTGTATATGCAGCTATATCATATAAATCACTCACACACAAGAACGCGGGCGGAGCCGCGGGCAGAAGCTAGTAAATTATAATATAAATAGACGAAGTTTTTATGTGTGTATTTTTTTTAAACGTATCCCCCATTATAATTTTCTCCTGTGTCGTGGGTGCGTTTACAAACATACAAGTTCACATACACATCACACCCAGACCCGGAACAACAATCTGTAGATCACACAGACTTGTTCCGTGCTGGAATCGAACCCGCGACACATTGCGCGGCAGCCGGTCATATATAAATAAGTAATTATATAATCGTTATAATTTTTATATCATTATAATATCTATATCGTATCGTCTGTAATTATCGATATCGTTCTAATTATATACCTGAAAATAAAAATATTTATTTATACATACCTATGGGCGTTATAATTTTTTTCGACTGATGCTCGGTTCATATGTTGGACCATGAGGTTGGTAATGTTAAAAGGAGAAAATAAACACTATCTTAGGATTGCACCATGTTCAGACCTTTGTAACTACTTAATCCACTATCTCCCAGGTCAAGATTAGGTACCTATATGATAATGTTAGTCAACTATATCTATAAATCCAGTTATCTTGATAACCTAGGATTAATCTAGTGACCCAAACTACGACCTTAAAATTCTTGACTTCGAGCGCGATGAACTTTACGAGTACCTATCGTCATAATTTGCAAAAAGTGGTACGTAGCTAATAGGTAGAATATTCCTTTAGGTAAATATATTTTATGTATGTATTTTTTTCCTGAAAGTTATGTTGTAGGGTCCAGTTGTGACAAATACCTATATTTTTCAAGAACTTCAATTTGACAATCGGTCTGACCAACAATGTGGTATCTTCATAGCCAAGGTAAGACAATTAAAAATCCAAGTAGTCCGTCAGTTAGATAATGAAAAAATATTCGACACGTATTTTTTATTTTCTCGTTTATAGTTACAATACTTAGATAAAATGGCGTTAAGTTTAGGAGTGGGAGGTGGTTATGTCACACGATATGTTAAATTCATATATCGTAGTTGTATAAAGTATTTAATTTTGTAAGAAAAGAAAAAATACGTGTCTAATCAAAATCGACATCAAAATAAAATTTAGGAAACAACTCTATTGAGAATGATCGATAGTAGTTACTCTATGCAAAATACAGACATTCTGCCGTATTTAGTTAAGAATAGAAATACTTAGATAATTGGGAAAAGCCAATAACTTAACGTTGATAAAACGCTTCAAACATGCAAATATCAGAATCACAACTTAACATAGACACAGACAATGAAAACTCCTGGCGTAATTATCAAGCACTCGAGTTATCAAACACTTCACTACCGCATAATCACGACATACCTACGTTACCTCGAGTGCACTTTCATAACTGTAATTTTCCAATAACTGAACGTATGACATATTTTTATAAGTAGTCAACATAATAGGTAACTCTTCCTTTACCTATGTACTAGAATGAGAGAATGTTTCCATTTGATCGGGACTGAGATGTGAATGTGATTGCACGGTTACCGCAGTGGCTGGAAACTGGTAGCCGGTTAGATTCCCTTAGAATCTTTGTAACATATTGTCTTGGGTGTCATAGGTATTATATAACTATGTGAAATTGTATGTTTGTAGTCGCACCCACGGCTCAGGAGAAAACCCTACTGTAATTATATAAATATCATCGTTAATACTATAATTATCATTTTAAATGTGTGACTGCCGGGCAAGGGGTCTCGGGTTCGATTCCCGGGTTGGGCAAAGTATTAGGGAGCGTTCAAGTATTACGTAACGCAATTTTTGAAGATTTTTGACCCCCCCTCCCCCCACTGTAACGCTCCGTAACGTTTTTCTGTACCCCCCCACCCCCCTCTCTTAAGGTTACGTAACACTCAAGTCATCATTTTTACCCTGAAGTCGCAAAAAGTTGTTATAGTTTTTATCCTTCGTATAGTTTTAATTGCCTTATAATAAAACAAGAGATTTTTAATTCGCAACACCTGCGTATTTTGTTTATTTTTTTATAAATTTTTGGCTTTACAAAACACAATTGTTTTTCTCCTTCATTCTCCTAAGTATTTTAGCTTTTTTACTAATAAATTCTTCAAATAAAATAACATATTTATTTTAACCTTTGGCAATGCAATTATAAACAGAAACCCAACTGAAATTAAACATTTTACTCGAAATAAAATCGTATTCTTAACAAAATTAAAAAATAATCAACTATTAACCAAGTATCTAAGTAGGTCTATAAAAACAATTCGATTGAAATTACTGCTCCTCTGTCCACGGGTTTGCTAGCCACTCAGATTCTTTCATCACTGGCACCTGGAGTGCAGACGAAGACGGTTCTGGAATTGTTAAGCCACTTGCATCAACTTCGTCTTCGTCGAGCCAGTCAGC